ATTTAACGGGTACGCACGCTTTGAAATGCCGATTTCCTACCATATGCCTTTATAACTGGTGAGTTCCCTGGCCCAAATGATGTGCCTTTCAGATTCTGCGGGGGCCTCACTCAACGAGCCCCATACCGCTCAATTAAGGAACAAGCCCTACATCCTCTACGGAATCCACCTACGAGTAAGCTTTTACTCCTGAATTGAGAGTCGTTGGGCTCTCCATGCACTGGCGAAAAGGCTTCAGGATGGCTACTTACCAAGAGGACTACCCTGAACTAAGGAATACCTTTCATGAGATTATGAACCCATGTGAAAGTTTATTCCTCAATTAAGAGCTACTGGGCTCCTTGTTGTGGGCTACCAAGGTAGCTTGAAAGTTTAACACACCTCTTTCGTGAGTGCCTACTCAGGGACGTACCGCTTCCACAAGAATGTGGGCTGAAGCAGGGTCCATTTTTGGTTGAAAGAGTTTAGGGGTTTAGGGCTTACGGTTTAGGGGCTAGAATTTGAGGGTGTGGGGTTTCAAGCTGTGTAATCCCTGTAAAAGGATAGAATTTGGGGTATCTAGGGATCTTATCATAATATACCCAATGCCATATTCTATCTACCTAAGGGGGCTATATATGTCTTAAAGGTTTCGGGTTTAGATATAGGCATTAGGCGTTGAATTGAGAACAGCAATAGAAGCTGGCTCAGATGTGGAAGCTTGTTCATGAATCACGTATCTGCTGGCATCCACGGTTCTGCATGGAGATTCTATAGTATTCTATAGGATCCCGAATCATCTTATAATCTCTAAAGCCATTGGTCAGAGTCACCTAAGTCCGTAGGATACGTCTGCCTTGGGAAAGCTTCGCATCTACTTGGGGACACTCTGGTAGTACGGAAAGCAAACACGCATGGTCCAGCTGCAAAATCCAAGCGAATACTTCTCAGCACAGTCATCTGGCTGCCACCTTTCCCAGTAGCTGACATGACATGAACATCTCCAGTTTAACAGCATGGCACGTGAGAGCTCGTGCTTGATGACACTGGTGGAGACAAACGTGTATGCTGCGACTTATTTTTTGGTAGCCTCAACGTATTACCTCCAGTATTGTTCCCCGAGAATCCTGGTATACGGTAACTAAAATGTAATATCCACTCCACACTGTGTTCCAACTCTTCAGGTTAATCATGGTCCCCAAACCTGATGTCTTCGGGTACCGTTACGATCATATCTTTGATTGCTTCTTTTTTGGCATATTCCTGCAAATCTGATAACTTGCTTTTCTGATTGGCGTCTAGTGTCATTGAAATAAGCTTTGCAACAGATATCCAGAAAGTGCCAACATGCTGAGCTCTTCATGCAGCAGCTTTCACTCCTAAGCCTGCTCTCAGTACAACACTCATCGCAGCCACGTGGTCACATTTAAGAACAGCCGGGAACTAAAGACAGAGCCTTTCCCATGTCAGCCCCGTATTACACACGGCATGCAGACAGACGTGGATATTCGCGGAAGTTCTCTCTAATGAAGGCGGACGTTCAGCAGCAACTAAGCAGGTAGGCTAAGTTGTTCTTTGATCATCCGGGGAATATCTTCTCAAACCTGTCCGTATTACTGTCATCGTGACTGTAAGCGTGCCTTCTGTGATGATGCCCATGCCGGCAAGCTCTTCAAACTCATCCAGCTGCAGATGGAGGAGCTTTGCCTGTAAGCACATGAAGTCCGACAAGTGGCAGGCAGAGGTTTGATTGTTATGTTGCGGGGGGTCGCTGGACCTGTGGTTCCAGACTCACCTAACGTCCTGTGGGCGAGGAGATCCGTGACATGGTCGCAGGGTTTCTCAAACGCTGTTCTGAAGAAATACGACGGAGTATGTAACAACACTGGTACTTTGCTGCGGTACTTTTAGCAAGATTCGGACAGATTGGTTCATGCCTTTTGAGTCATGCCGGGTAGATAATCTGAGAGGGGCGTTCTCTACTGGCAGAGGCAGCTATTTGCGAGGAACTAGCTCTACTGCGTGCTGGCTCAGCCAAGTCAAGTGCTTCCGTTCGAATGTGTGTCTAAAACATCTGGATGAACCAGAGGTCAGGGCCTGCTTCAGAAATGCAGCAAACGATGCTGCAAACCTCGCACATAGAAAGCGCAGCTAGTGCCATTAAGCGTCCTGTCGCGTGGGTTGACTTTAACATCTGCAAGCTCCCTCAGTCCTGTGGCTGGAAACCCGCAACCCACAACTCACGAAACACCAGCGAAGCCAACGATCCTAAGCCCTCTGCGCACAAAACCTGCTAAACCATATACTCTAGAGCCCGAACCCTAAGCCCAAAATCTAGTCTAAACCTTATTGTCTACTCTGCACCTTGAACCCTCAACCCTATGCTCGAAGCCGAAACCCGAGACCACGGCAAATGGCTGAGTCCCTGGCTGCGAGCATCTTGGAGCGAACCATGGTGACCAGCCTTAGCAGGCAATCCCTGGAGATCATCGGATGTTATACCAGCCCCCATCTTCACGTAAGGGTTAAGCAAGGGGAACGTTGCCATCATCAAGGGGTCTCCACAATTTTATAACCTTGCAAGTATTGGGAACCTGATTCCTGTACGCCCCCCCCTTTGGGTCGAGACCCCAAAACCTAATCCTGAAAACCTCAAACCGAAACCCGACCCTTGTTCGGGAATGCAGGGGAGTCCTGGGTTCTCAGCTGCTGCATCTGCGCAAGCGCCTGCCTTGAGAAACCCTGCAGCCAGAAAATGTACTAAATTATCCTTATAGCGAAGGACTCCCAAAGTGGTTTCTTCGTAATATGTATGTTGGGAGGGTGTTGTCGTTCGGTTCAAGACTTCAAATATTAGGGGACATGCTACACAGGTGGCCCAAAAAATGCGCTTGTCATCCTGCCATACCCTATATAGGTCTAACCTACGTCGTACTGTAATCCACAATATTCCGAAACGCGTCAGCTTTCATGGTACATTTTTTTGAATATATCATATAGTTGTAAACTGGGCGAGTGCCTGCCTAGATTAAAACCCCTCGTAAGTGGATCTCCAGCCTTTAGTCAACCGTAGGTCCTGCAAAATAGGGGCTGTGTCAAACATCGGGCCCATGGCTTAGGGGCTCCCATTGCTGCATGGAGATCGACATGGACCCACGTAGGACTTTGTGGCCCGCAGTAGGTATGAATTGTAGATTTCGATCCTGTGGTATGTCACTGACCCGTTTTCTGACGGCGTGTGTAGGGATCTAGTGCTGACACATTCCCATTTTTGGACGCTCTGTGAACGCGCTGTAGGACAAAATCTGGGTCTGTGTGAGCGAAGCACCTGAAGGTCACGCCCTTCCGATGTCGAAAAATGCCCTCATATTGACGGCTGCCGACTCAGTTCGCCTCTCGCGGGGCTGATCGCCTGAACAAAGTAGGAGAAAGTTTCGTGCTTTGGGTTAGGATTTGGAGGCATAAACACACTTCAGCCAGGAAGGACCTTAACCGAAAAACTCTGTATTGCACCGATACCTTCAGCCAATTTAAGTTGTTCACCACGGCTCCATGCTAAAAGCGCCAATTGCCCCTGCATGGTCTCCCTGGTGCCTGGTAGAGAATGGGAGGTGGTTTAAAGGGACTGTTGAAATCTAACCCTCATATAACCACTATCTACTATCTACCCCTATATAACACCAGTTTCCACGTTATTTTCCGCTTTCTTTTCCATTTGATTTTCCATTAATCCAAAATAATCCAACATAACCCTGGTGGTAAGAGCATATTATATAGGGTATTATACTGAACTATTGCTGGGCTTCCTTCATCCTGGGCGCAGCACCCTGCACCTGACAGAGCCCATCCTCGGCCATAATTAGCTACCTGTCCAGTTTCCTAAAGAAAGATAGCTTCTCGACGATGCCAGGATCAGAACACCAAAAATGGGCTAAAGGGTCATGTACGAAGGCCAGACATAGGGCTTCAACACCAGCTATTCCGCAGCCCCTTCCGGGCCTCGCCACTTTGCATGGTGCGACAAGGCTTTCATAGTACAGGTGCGTGCTATCGATCGCGATTAACCACGCTATAGCATCATTGTGACCATGAGCATGCTGATAATCGCTGTGGCGATGATGGTTCTGGGGCCCTCACTTTGGGCGGCATTGTACTTAGGTAACCTACTGTCTACCCTTATCATGCCTGTTGCATCCTGTTGCCACCCTGTTGTAGCCCGTATAGCTGAGTTCCCAAAGCCACTATCCCCAGACCCACACGAAGTAGGACAAGTACTATGATTGTTTGAGGCTAGATGCGGGCAGGTTCTTCCTTTTGTGGAATGTTTGGTTCCGGGGCTGACATCTTGAGCAATATCCAAACCTCAAGCACAAGCGGATCGACCGTACGACTGCTTTTACAAGCCATCAACTCTCGCTGCAAAGGTATCCATGAGTATCTAACGCGGTCTGACCGCTGTACGCCGCTAATTTTGGGAAGTGCCTCGTGTGATCGACCGCAGCTTCTAAAGTGCCATCGCACGGGATCCATAGTTGACGTAGTTTCTGAAAATTTGAAACGCGATAATCTTGAAGCGTGCGCGGCGACCTTTTACTGAGGGAGGTTTCGGAGATGGCACAAGACCATTGTTAACGTAGTTTCTCAAGTTTTGAAATGTGCCATTTTTGAAGCACGCCCGTTGACTTTCTCCAGTTGCCACACAAGCCCTCTCTGCCTTAGCCACCCTTTTTCCATCTGACCTTCATGTTCAGCCAGACTAGCAGGCACCAACAGATCCCAAATGTTCACGCCAGGCAGGGACCATAGGCACTGAAGCGCGAAACCTAAATCCTAAAGCCCAAACCCCATACACTGCGGTAGCCAGAACGCTGAACCCTAAAAACCAAGCCCTGAGCTTACAGGTTGAAAGCTAGCAAGAGAGGAATGAATCCCTGTGGTAGCCCGCTAAGAGAACCGCAATAACGTAGAGCTTCCTTTTCTTTTCCATTCCTTCACTCAGCAAGTAAAACCCAAAGCCAGCCTTAGTCGTCCACCAGCAGCTCGACGCCCAGGAACTCCGACAACTTCGACGCGCGCTTCTCGAGCACGTACTTGCTGTAGACCTGGAGGCACCAGTTCATAAGTGGGAGATCTGTAGCTCAAATGCAGACGCGCAGCTATAAGTGGCGCGAATTTGATGGGAGCATTTCGTGAGTGTATGGCAACTGCAAAGCGCAAGTCTAGAGGAGGTTCCCAGAATTGCATCAAATCCAACGAAACCCGCACCGCAAATCAAGGCCTCACAGAAACTCTGACTCTGAAAGTCTGAGGCCAACGTAACTACGCGATCCTCATGCAAGGCCAACCTGTTGATTTCATTAGACCCAAAAAACCTAACCCTTGCGCTAGGGGTATGCTGTATTGGGTATACCCACCCAGCTACTACGAGGGTACAGTCATGTCATGCTACAGCATGTGGCTTTCCTCACTGGAAGGAAGAGAATCAGAAACAAGACCTGCCAGGAAATCTACGCTTGATGGGAAAATATCTTCTTGCACCGCTCTAAACACTAACTGCTGCCCTTCGCGGTTCATCCAGGAACATACAGTCAAAGAGCCCTGGGCGCTTCAAAATCTCCTTCGAGAACAGCATGCCACTCCAAGTGCACCTTGCTGTCTTGATCTGCCCATGCTCTCCCTTACCTCTGATGCCTGAGAGGCTTGCTCCGAAAGAAGAGTCCACCCAAATGCACACACTGTTGATGGAGGAAATCTTGCACCACATAGGGCCCCTAAAGTACTGGGGTTTGTAGAATGTAAAGGACTTAAGGTGGTGCAAGGCTACCCAATCCCTATAGGCATGATTACAAATGGCCTCGGGGTCGTCCATGAAGTGGATCTCCTGACCCTCCTGTGGCTCTCAGCTCTGTACCACGGCGGAGTTGAGGTCATTAAGTGAAGTGGCTACCAACATGGAGCCTATGTAGCATGGGCTCGGGATTGGGGAATGTACTGTACAAGTTGCTAAAAAAAGTAGGGCTCAGGCTTCGCATGTTCAGGACCTTGTGTTTAGGGTTCAGGTGCATCGCCCACCCAATGGACATGGAAGAATCGCATGGAAAGCCACTCAGGCTTGGCATATTCAGGACCTTGTGTTCAGGGTTCAGGTGCATCGCCTCCCCAATAAACATGGAAGAATCGCATGGAAAGCCACGAGGAGACTGGGCCTATACACAGCTTAGAGGGACGCATCATCCAAGCACTAGATTAATCAAGGGGACCATATTCAAAGAACGGTTTTTGGGTAGAATTGGCCGCCAAGGAGTGGCTTTTCGTCCGGGAAAAGGGACTGGATTTGATGAAAATTTGTTGGGTACCCATCCTAATAGTAGATTTAAATCAGAAATTTAAACTACACTTACTGCAAAAAGACTGACAGCTGCTGTTCAGTCTCGAGTTTACATTAGTAGAAGCTAATTCTGCAGAGCCTGCTGCTGCTTTAAGGTCCAGCTTCATTAGTCTTTGCTTCTGCTTACTGCTTTCTAGATGTTTAAACCAAAAATTTTCCAGAAATCCAGGCCCTTCAGAAAGCTATAGTTTCTTGTATGCGCGCTTACTTAAAACCAAATTGTTCATTCCGTCCTAGGCTACCCCTTACCAAAGCTGTCCGACAGCAACCCAAACCAGAATTGGAAAAGGGACCACATTAGTAGAAACTGATTCTGCAGAGACTGCTGGTCGTTAAAACTCCTCTAAGACATCAATTGTAATCGAATTAAGATTCCGCTAGACAAAAATTTGAAGTCAAATTCCATTTTTCTTTAGAAATGAATTGAAATCAAGTTGAAGTCCATTTGAATTCAATCGAAGTATGATCCTCTCACAATCAGTTCAAACCAAATTAAATTCCATTAGCAATCATTTGAGATCGAATTGAATTCCGTTTAAAATCAGTTGTAATCGAATTAAATTGCATTTGAGATCAGTTGAAACCGAATTAAATTCCATTTGAACTCAATTGAAATCGAATTCATTCCATTTGAAATCAATTCCTATCCTTTTTCATCAGAGTTCCAAGAGCCCAATGACTGATAGAGATTCAATACATTCCAATTCAGTTTGTACTAGAGCTCCAAGAGCCCCAAGGATCTTTAATAGAGATTCAAAACATTCCTATTCAGTTTGTACTAGAGCTCCAAGAGCCCCAAGGATTTTTCATAGAGATTCCATACATTCCTTTTCAGTTTGTGCTAGGGCGCCCCAAGGATCTTTAATAGAGATTCAATACATTCCTATTCAGTTCGTACTAGAGCTCCAAGAGCCCCAACAATTTTCATTGAGATTCCGTACATTCCTATTCAGTATGTACTAGAGGTCCATGAGCCCCAATGATTCTTTTAATCTTGCGCCCTCCATTTCCTATTCTGGCGGGGGGGCCCCAAAAAATTCATCCGGTGCTCGGATTAGTGACAACCTCCTGGTAAGAATGAACAAAACATCCTCCAACGCGACATGATAAGTCTTCCATTTTGCGATTATAGTACCATGGTATACAGGTCTACGACTATGCTGAATACTGATGAGCAGTGGCAAGGGGAAGCTGGTGACCCGCCATGCTCCAAAGCTGTCTTGCTGATAGACCGCGAACCTCTCAACCTCCGACAGGTCATCGGCTATGGAAAAACCTGAATCTTCGCTTCCCACAAACATTCACTCAGCAGTGGAGTCTACTGCCATTCATGCCAGGACGTGTTCAGTAGCAGAATTTCCTTGCAGGAAGTGGCCGTCGCTGTCGGAAAGGACATGCCCCCGCGGAGAATGATTAAAGTAAATCATTTCAATCTTGTGGCACTTTCTTCATCCGCGCTCAGCTAAAAAACCGTCCTGAAGCCTACACCCAAAGCATCCTCAGCTCTAAACCGTTCTGCCCAAAGCGTCCTAAGGCCTATAATACTTTGCCAAACACCGACATTCACTCCCTCCACTGCAAGCCAAAAAGCTAAACCCTCAACCCCTAAAGCACCGAACCCCAAATCCTGAAACCCCTTAAATGACTTCGCACCTGTGTGACCAAGTAGAGGTCTCGGCTTCCAGTAATGGCCAGGTTCGTCCACTCGAACTTGACCGCCTTCTCAGCAGGACTCTCTCAGGATGTACGTGCATAACCGTGCAGGGAGGATATGGGGATGCATAGGGCTTAGGGTACGGTTTGACACAGTCCTATATGGGAGCTGTGGGGTTCCCAAAACAGCATTGCATTTGTGATACAGAGATACTACAGGGCACGCCTGAGTGTGTAAATAGGAACTTCGTTGAACAACTTCCACGCGGGCACTTCCATGGTCAGGGTCCCCTCATAGTAAGCCACGCGAACACTAGAATCCTGGCTACAGCAACCCCATGTAACGGAGCCTGGCGTTCCTGCGTGGCAATCCTATCTCAAGTGGACTTGAGAGGGAGAGAGACTGACAGAGAGAGAGAGAGAGAGGGATAGAGAGTGCCGGGGAAAGAAATAGAGGGAGGAGGGAGGAAGGGAGGGAAGGAGGCCGAGGGAGGGAGAGACGGAGAAGTACATACGTATGTATATATATAGTTTACTAGATACATATCGAGGATAGGTATAACAATAAGAATCGAGTTGCACGAGGATGGTGGAGGTGTCCATTCAGAGTATGTAGGGATTACCAACTTGCGAAATTGCCGCCACTGCGGGGCAACTGCACACGAGAACAAAGCAGGTTTGCCTGGAAGTCAGTAAGGGGAATCTCACGAATCATGTCGCCGTTCCTCACCTCATAAGCGCCCAGATCACGAATCGGCAAAGTTGTCAGCTTGGATGCAAAAGGGTGCTTGCTGCTGCACCCCATCCTCTCCCCACATCTCTTGCCACTTTACTCTTAGCACGGCACTACCACCACTGCTGCTGCTAGTGACTGCTAGTGCTACTAGCGCCAGCACTGGCACCCACCGCACACAAGCTGAAGACAGGCCATACAACCTAAAGAAGCCTTAACGAAACTTTAATCAAACATCATTAGGGGGAGTGTCAAGTTGGGACCTGGGAGGCGTTGGAATCAGTTAAAAAAATGCCTCAATCGGCTCAGGGTGTTGAACAGACTTTGCCGATGTGTCTGACTCAAAACATGTAGACCCGTGCCTGCAGCAGCATCATAAGAAAACAAGTACAAAACAGCATACCCAGGGAGTTCGCTCCTGAAGAGATCACATGCTTATCGCCATGGGACCATGTACATCATGCCATCGTTCTTGTTGAACTCGCAGACGCCCTGGCCCACATTGAAGATGTTGATGTACCACTGGATCGGGCCTTGGCTCACTTCACCGGAGGCGGAAGGCAAAGGAGCCCAATATCTTCGCCCCAAACAGCATAATACAGTCCCTTCGCACAACGATTCTCAACATGCTGGATACGTCTGTCAAATCTCAGTACAGGCTTCTGAATTTGGGGGGGGGCAAGCACAGGGGCACTTGCAGGAAAATCCCATATCCAAGGCCCCGAGCCGAAGATGAAGAAGCCGAAGAAACCGTAGAAGGACATGAAGGCGCCCTAGCGAAGACAGACGTTGCTGCTGCCTCTAGGCCCTTCGGGCCCAAGTATCCAATAATGGAATATTTGGGACTTGGGTATGCGCAATTCTAATACAGGTCCGGGGGAAGTATATGAATCTTGAGTACTTGGATCCTGAAGCAAGCATAGCCGCAAGTCCTGACCCCTGAAGTGAGTAGCTGTAAGAAGCAGCGTAGAATCCCTGACAGTACCTTTTCTAGGAGTCTAGGACTAGCAGGGCCTCCAACGCAGGGCCCGGTTTCATGAACTTTCCATCATGCGAGGCTTTGCTAGGCTGCACGCCATTCATAGTGATGCATCAACATCTGTTGGCCACGGTTGTTGGCACGGCCGAAGTGCAAACAATTGGAGCAAACGGGTGGCCAAACCCTGTCACTGGCAACTTTGATAGAATCCCCGAACGGTAGTTCCCCTAAATAACAGGACCCATATAACCCCAAAATACTATAACCCTTAGTACGGGGACCCCAAAAGGGTACCCTCAAATTTGGGAAACACTCAAATATTGCAAAAATGCTACCTGCGACAAACTGCGAATCTTTTGGAACAGCACTGCTGACAGCATATGTCACTAGAGGCTAGCCTAGCGAGAGGAGATGTAATATGAGAACCCCAG